TCTTCTTCTTCTTCTTCTTCTTCTTCTTCTTCTTCTTCTTCTTCTTCTTCTTCTTCTTCTTCTTCTTCTTCTTCTTCTTCCTCTTCCTCTTCCTCTTCCTCTTTCTCTTCTTCTTCTTCTTCTTCTTTGTGGGAAGGAGGGGCTTCAGCTATAGCTGCCAAGTCTCCCATTAAAGGGAGAGCACTCCTGTTGGCAATTCCCTGGTTCCCACCCTGCTTGGTAGATTTGGAAGAGAATAAGAAAAAAATGCTGTCATGGAAACCGCATGATGTCATTTCTGGGGTGAACCCAGAAGTAATGTCACACCACTCTAGGATTCATAAAATTGTAGCGTTTCTGCTGAATCCTAGCGTGGTGTGACATCAGTTCTGGGTTTGTGAACCAGAAATGACATCACTTGGCCACCTCATGTCCCTGCATCCCCCAGACTCCTGCCACAGGCCAGCAACCTTCCCTCCTGTGCCATTCTGTTAGCGGTCAGCTCTCCCCTTGAGTTGGGTAGTTGGCACCCAGGGAGAAAGCAAGCCCAGACACCCTTCATATAGAATCACTCCAGACAGATATTAAATCTAGCACACTGCCTGGCCTAAAAATGACCCCAAAAGGAACGTCAGGCAGAATACCAGATTGGGAAAACTATCTGGAAGTGAACCCAGGAAATGAATTGCAAAACAAGTCTCTCCCACCTAGAGGCAGGGGTCATTTCCTGCGGGAGCACACAGGAGCGGAGCTCCAGCAGTAAGGAGCCCAGGGGGTAGGCACATGCAACAAGCCCCGCCCCCTGCTCCTAGCAGCCCTCAGTTGGGCTATGAGGAGCAAGAAGCAGCCAGGTAAGTTGCAGAGCCCACGCCCGGCCCACGTTCAGGTAGAAGCTTTCCTTCCTCTGTGAGGGCAGATCTGCACATTCTCCCTCCCTCATAGCTAGCAATCCAAAACAGTCCAGTGGCACCTTTAAGACCAAGTTTTATTCAGGTACAAGCTCTACCTCCTCTGTGAGGGCAGATCTGCACGTCCCCGCTCTCCCAATAGCTAGCAATTCAAAACAGTCCAGTGGCACCTTTAAGACCAAGTTTTATTCAGGTACAGGCTCTCCCTCCTCTGTGAGGACAGATCTGCACGTTCCCCCTCCCCCAATAGCTAGCAATCCAAAACAGTCCAGTGGCACCTTTAAGACCAATACTTGCCCCTCCCCCCCCCCCCAATAGCTAGCAATCCAAAACAGTCCAGTGGAGCCTGAGCGGTGGGTGTTGCCTTCGGACACACTTCCCGTGATGTCAGGTGGTGTGGCATATGCAAATAAGTTATGCGAATAAGTTATGCTAATGAGCTCCTGCATCTCTTTTTCTACGAAATGACCCCTGCCTAAAGGCAATGTATATTTTATAACAATGGATTTCTCGGGAAAACAGCACCCCACTTTGATGGTATCTCTTTCATCCCTGGTACTGGCTTCCCCTCTTGGCGCTGACTCCCCTGTTAGCATATCCAGAGCCCCCCGGAAGTGTCATGCATCCTGCATCAGTGCACGTCAACTGCCGTATCCTAGCTCCAAGAGGGCTATCAAGGTCCACTCAATCCTTTCATCTCCCACTGGGAAAACCCTTAACCATTCGTACAAATTTCTGGGAACCTTCCTGTAAACACATTTAGCTATTGTTTTAAGGGCAAACCTGTTCTATTGCCCTAAGGTACATTTTTTCCCTATAAATACATGAACCCAGTTCCAGTACACGCGCTCTCTTCTTGGTGTCAACTTCGCACTCCATGAAGTGCTGGTCACTTCTTTTTCTCTCCGCAGACCTGAATCTTCAAGACTGGTAAATATAGCCTCTCCTAAACACTGTTCCACCGCTACTTCTTCTTCTTCTTCTTCTTTTTTAATTTTCATTAGGATATATCAATAAGTCAAACTATACATCACCTTACACATTATCATATATCCTTTTCTCCTGATAACCCCCCCCTTCTGACTTCCCGCAGTGCTCCAACCTCCAGCCCAAGTAACATATCTTTTAGCTATTTTTCTTAATGTCCTTCTATCTTCAATAATTATCAAAGCAAAATAGGTTATTTCTTACGTCCCAATATTTCTCTAAATATTCTTTAAAGTCTTTCCAGTCTGCAAAAAATTCTTCTGCTTCCCGATTCTTAAGCTCGTTCCACCGCTACTTCTTGGTTAGCCCTTGTTTGTGCATTCTACAAGTGTGCTTTGTGTGTATTACTTTACTTTCCACTCTTTTCCAATAAATTTCTATTAGTTGAACATCTCCTTGGTTTCATAGAATCATAGAGTTGGAAGGGATCTCCAGGGTCATCTAGTCCAACCCCCTGCACAATGCAGGAAATTCACAAATACCTCCACCCCACACACACCCCAGTGACCTCTGTTCCGAAAGATAACGATGGTTTATTTGGAGGTTCTCCAGGGAAGGACCCCATATACAAAGGTGGAGATCTTGCATTACCTGCCTCTTGCTAGCAAAACTCCCCAATCTATTAAATATTAGACCAATTCGGGTAACAATTTTAACAAGCCAAAAGGGCTGCGTGGGGGTCCAGCTAGACATCACATTCACAGAAGTAGATTTCTTTTCAGGCAGAGGGTACTACACAAAACATAAGAACATAAGAGACGCCAATGTTGGATCAGGCCAAAGGCCCATCCAGTCCAACACTCTGTGTCACACAGTGCCCAAAAAATACCAGGTGCCATCAGGAGGTCCAGTAGTGGGGCCAGGACACTAGGAGCCCTCCCACTGTTGCCCCCACCCCCCAGGCACCAAGAATACAGAGCATCCCTTGCCCCAGACTGAGAGTTCCTATCTATACCTTGTGGCTCATAGCCGCTGATGGACCTCTGCTCCATATGCTTATCATAAGAACACAGGAGAAGCCAATGTTGGATCAGGCCAAAGGCCTATCCAGTCCAACACTCTGTGTCACACAGTGGCAAAAAATGCCAGGTGCCCTCAGGGGG